ATCGCGCCACTCAGCCGGCCCCAGTTGTTTCTACTTTTATTACGCTACTATGAACATATACAAGTTTTTGCATGGACATGTATTGTCATTTTTCTTAGATATATATGTGGGAGTGGGAATGCTGGGCCATATGGTAACTGTTTAATATTTTGAGGAACTGCCAAACTGTTTTCCAAAGTGGCTGAACCATTTTACAGTCCCACCAGTAATGAATGAGAGTTCCAATTTCTCCACATTCTCATCAGCCCTTGTTATTGTCTTTTTTTATTCTAGCCATCCTAGTAGGTGTGAAATGGTATCTTATTGTGGTCAGTCTTATCCTATTGACCTGCCCTTGTCCCATGGCTCCAGAAACTTTTATCAGGGTTTCCTGTAATCTTCAATTGGCTGCGGTCAGGCATCCCTTCTCATCAGCTGCCTTATATATAAAATAACAGTATATGATGAGTCACTCTGTAAAAACAAGAAAGCTACTACAGTGCCATCAGCCAGGCTTCCCCCTTGTTTTTCTAGCAACATATGAAAGTAAAGAGCCTGGAAGATGCAGAAAAGAATCCCAAAGCCATTGACACATGGATTGAGAGCATCTCTGAGTTACATCGTTCTAAGCCCCCTGCAACTGTGCACTATACTAGGTAAGAAATACCACATTCTTTACCACAGTAACCCATGGTAACCTTCACCACCTGTGAATGCTTTTCTTCTGAGAAGACAGCCCAACAGCTGGGGACATATTTGATCAACCTGAGGTCCTATGGATCCTGGCAGTTCCTGGCTGAGACTGCAGATATAAGAATTGTGATTTATCTGGTAGTATTACTTGGCCAGCTTCTCCAAACCCCAGGGTTGGGTAAGATTGGTCTGCTGAGTCCATGTTCTCCTGAAATCCTAATGTGCCAGACTGAGAGCCTCCTTTCATCCTAAATATCCTGATCCAGAGGTTGCTGATGTCACTTGTCCATGCTTCTTGTTTATATACTTTATATACCCTATACTTTAGGCCCATGCCTGATGTTGACATGCTGATGCAGGAATGGTCCCCAGAGTTTGAAGAGCTTTTGGGCAAGGTGAGTGGAAGGTGGCAGGAGCTAAGAAAAT